AATAGAAATGGAAAAGAAAAAAGAAAAAAAAATGGGGGTAGCAATACTTATACCAGACAAAATAGACTTCAAGACAAAGGCTACATAACAAGAGACAAAGAAGGACCCAGTAATTCTACTTCTGGGTATTTATCTGAAGAAACCCAAAACACGAATTTGAAAAGTCATACTCATCCCTATGTTCATTGAAGCATTCTTTACAATAATCAAGATATGAAAGCAACCTAAGTGTCTATCAAGAGATGAATGGCTAAAGAATACACACACACACACACACACACACACACACACACACACACACATATATATTATAATACATATATATAAAATAATCAAGATATGAAAGCAACCTAAGTGTCTATCAAGAGATGAATGGCTAAAGAATACACACACACACACACACACACACACACACACACACACACACACACGTATATAATGGAATACATATATATAATGGAACATTAATCAGCCATAAAAAAAGAATGAAATCTTACCATCTGCAGCAACATGGATGGACCTAAAGGGTAATATGCTAACTGAAGTAATTTGAACAGAGAAAGACAAATATCATATTTCATTTATATGTAGAATCTAAATAACAATATAAACAAACAAACAAAACAGAAACAAACTCATAGATACAAGAGAACATTTGATGGTTGCCAGATGGGAGAGAAATGGGCGTGGGTGAAAAAGGGGAAAGGATTAAGAAGTACTAATTGGTAGTTACAAAATAGTCATAGGGATATAAAGTAGCATAGGTTATATAGTCAATAATACTTTAATAACTATGGTGTCAGCTGGGTACTAGATTTATTGGGTTGATTACTTCATAAGTTATGTAAATGTCTAATCATTATGTTGTCTACCTGAAATTAATATGTCAACTGTAATTGAAAAATAAAAAATTATATAATAAAATGAAATAAATCTAGGGGTTTTCTTGTGACTCACTTCTTCAAAAAGTTGAGAGCTGGGAACAAAGGAGGGGAGGGGAAACTCCAGATAATTAATGATTCTTGTTGGATGGGATCTGATTAATGATCTTGAGCTATGGAGTGATTTATTTTCTCTGTTCTTTCCTCTTTTCAATCGATAAAGAGATTTGAGATCCCGGTTTGAGGATCAGCTGAGAGCTCACATTATTTAAGTCTCAAATGCAATTCATCCCAAGGATTCGCTCATTTTTTATTCTGTTCATTTCAACCCAGCAACCACTTCCCAACCTCCTGTCTTGCGCCCCCTCCAGATGAGGCCCTACTGGGCAGCAAAGATGGGTGAGATATGTTGTCTGTCAAAATCTGGTGGTGAGGGTGAGAAAGTGATCCCAGCAAAAAGTTCTCTATAATCTCTGCATCGTATGGATGCAATCAGGAAATCAACAGTGACTTCTTGGAGGAATTGGCATTGGAATTGAGCCTTGCAGGGTGGCCCCAGATGGAGGAACTCGGGGGGATAGGGTGAGATGCATTCAGAGACTGAGAAATATGAGGTATGCCAGGTTTTTCTGAGGGTCACCATAATTATTACCACTCAGCACTTGCTGTGTACAGGTTTATTATCTTATTCAGTCCCTATAACACAAAGTGGCACTTTTCGCCAATGAAGGGAATGAGTGGCGGCACCAGCACCACCTGCCACTTAGCCATATCCTTGTTTATGACCCCTTCTTACCTCAGCTGATGGTCTTGAGGCCGATGGCCATAAGCTTTGAAATGTTTTCACATCCCTCAGACATAACTGATGGGATCCCTCCAGGTCTTAAAAGAGCATTGTAGGTGTACCTTCTCCTACAAGGAAGTAAAGGGAAGCCTCACTCTATGTACTAGCCTGGCTGGTTTCTGACCTGCCTTGCCTTTAGTTTTTGACTCCAGATGGGGGGATGCTCCATACTCTTAAAATTGTGCCATGCGAAAGAGAAGGGGAGCAAGTCCCTGAGTCATTTTTTGTCCTGGAGGTTCAGGGTAGAGGCCATGGCTGGTTTTGTTAGGGCCCATCTTATAATGCTGGTGGTAAAATTTCTAATTATTACTTTTATTTACTGAACACTTAGCATGTGTTCATTTCATCTTCTAAGAGCCCGAAGATGCAGGCATTATTATCCCCATCTTGTAAATGAGGACACCCTGGCCAGAGGCACAGAGGTAAAAGCGGCAACATGGCAGCTGAGATTTAAAGCAAATCTGGAACTCCAAAGCCCTTCCCTTTACCACTCTCCTGCCTCTGCTTCCTGGGCTCCATTGTGGGTGAAGCCAGGGGCTTCCATATGGTACCTCATTGAGTCTTCACAGTCACTGTCTGTAGTAGGCTATATTGTGCCCATTTCACAGCTGAATAAACTGAAACTCAGAAAAGTTGAGTGACTTGCCCAGGGGCATTCAGACAGCCAGAGACAGAGCTAGGTTTTTGTTTTGTTTGTTTGTTTGTTTGTTTGTTTGCTTTCCTTCCCCCCAATTCATTCAGTGAGAACATAACTGAGTAGAGGGAAGGGCCTAGAGTCAGGATAGTGTCAGAGAGGGGGTGAATGATTTGAGAAACATTTATGTTTATATTCAGAGAAGCAGTGCTATAGGGTCTAAGGGACTCTACAGTTAGTCACTAGGTTTTTGTTTTGTTTGTTTGTTCGTTTGTTTGTTTGTTTGCTTTCCCCCCAATTCATTCAGTGAGAACATAACTGAGTAGAGGGAAGGGCCTAGAGTCAGGATAGTGTCAGAGAGGGGGTGAATGATTTGAGAAACATTTATGTTTATATTCAGAGAAGCAGTGCTATAGGGTCTAAGGGACTCTACAGTTAGTCAGCACGGATTCAAATCCTGGCTCTGCCACTTTCTTTACCTCTCTACACTTCAGTTTCTCCTCCGAAAAATACATACAATACTAGTATCTACTCCATAGAATTAGGATTAAATGAGTTAATATGTATAAAGTGTATATATTAGTGCCCAGCATGTAGTAGGCACAGTGTGTGTTAGTTACCGCTTATTGAGTGAGTCCGCATGAGGCACTTTTTTTCACTTGTGTTGTATCACTAGGTCCTTATAATAGCTGACAAGTGGATGGTATTGATCCCATTTTACAGATAAGAAAACTTAGTCTCGGAGAAGTTAAATAGCTCAACTGAGGTCATGTGTCTGTTCATCCGCAGGTGCATATTGAGAACTAATGTGCCTTATGCTAAGGCAGGTACTTAGACACACTACGGAACAAAATAGACCTAAATCCCTACCCTGTGGAGCCTGTGGAACTTAGACTTGAACACAGGCAGGTCTGCCTCTTTGCCTTTTAATGCTTTTCTCTCTTCCTCTCACCCTCTTAATTTCGTTTAATGATCATTGACCTTTTCAGATTGGCCGTTGTAATGACCAAGATGGCGTTCCATTTCCTTGCTTTCCCAGTGCTTACAGAATGATTTTGTTGCACTAGATTTTTTTTTTTTTTAATCTCTGACAACTTAGGAGTTCCAGGAAGGAGAGTAACATGGATTTAAGGATGGGGCACCATGGTCCGAGGTGTGAAATAGAACCACATTGTGGTGTGCAGTGTGCTTGTGGATCTCTTCAGTGGAAGACTGAGCTTCGAGGGTGGGGGGTGAGATGGACAGAGGTTGTCTGTCCTCAGATCTTGACCAAGTAAAATGTGCAGCTCTTCCCCTTTGGGGGATGATGCCCTCACAGTCCCGGGTGGGGTAGTCAAAGGTGCTGCCTCTCTAGTAGGCCTCTGCTTTATGAGTTTGGGCCCTGGTCCACGGTCCTTATTCTGGGACTTTGAGCGACGAGGCCCCATTACTCTGGGCATGGCATTCAAAAGAACAGGACAGAGGGCAGAAGTTGGGGTGAGGGCAGGGCTTCCACTGCTCTGTGAGTCACACAAGGTCTCGGAGCAGGCAGGCTGGTGATCACTGTCATCACCTTGGTGGAGACACGTATAGATTGGTATGCGATGTGTTGGTACTAATATATGACCCAGCTGAGGTAAGGTGGTTGTCTTATTGGGTCTCTTTGTGCCAGTCTGCAGAGAAAAAGTGCTGGTAAACAGGGTCTGCGTATCCCTCCACCAATTCACAAACCTGTGCATGGAACTTAGCACTCAAAATTGGTGAGGAGGGAAAAAATTGGTGAGGAGGATTTTAGTTTTGTTTGTTTTGGCTTAGGTCGGTTAGCGGGGAAAGTTTTCAATGTGTGTTTCCTTATGCTTGTTGGCCTGTTTGGAAGAAAATACTCCTTTGTGCTGATGATTCTGTAACCAAGAGGAGGAGCAGGTCTATATATGTTCCCCAAGGGACTCTGCTCTCCTGATCTCACGGATGACCCAGCCTCTGCCCTTCAGGTGGAGTGTACACTAGTGCTGTGTTTAAATATGTTGGAATTTGCTAGGTTTTGTTCACAGAATCCTGACAGTGAAAACGATGCTTGGCTTTTAAATTAAACTGATTAAATTTGAGATCATTGTGAGGCCATCAATAACTCCACTCATACAGGAGTAATTGAGGGGCTTTATGTTTTCGTACTTGGCTTCTTTACAAGGGACCCTGGCTCCTGAGAACTTGGTTAACTCAATAGCCTTCCTTACCCTGAAATGGCCCATTAAAAGATGCCTATTGGGTGGTAACCTCCCCATACGTTTTCTCAATAAAGAAAAAAGATGGGGAGGGGTGGGGTTGTGGGGGTTGGTGGGGGAGACCTCTCTTGCATTTAGAGCCGCAGCCTCTCAAAGCCATCTGGCACAGACTGTTTAGTTCCGTGTCCCCTGTCCCATTCAGGCCTCTTCATGTTTTGAAGCTTTCTTTAGCTTTTCCCTGAGCCTTGACGGCAGATCTCTCAATAGGGGAAAGCTCAGCTATGGTTGCTGAATGCCCATCGGTACAATGCACTGAATGTTAATGGCACTGGCTGGCCCCAGGCAGTGGGACGGTGGCCGCCGTGCCAGCCCAAGCAGCTGCCTCAGACCGAGATGGGGTCCGATGAGCTTCCTAAAGTTGCCTCTTTGCTTTTTTGCAGATCTACACGGACTGGGCCAATCATTATCTAGCCAAATCAGGCCATAAACGTCTCATCAAGGATCTCCAGCAAGATGTGACAGACGGCGTCCTCCTGGCCCAGATTATCCAGGTTGTGGGTAAGAGCATATTTTACATTGGGGGTCGGGTTACAGTGGAGACCCAGAAGTGTTCAAGTTGGGCAAGGGGAATGGAACACTGGCATCTTTAAGAAAAACGCGGTATTTCTGTCACATGTGTTGAGAATTTGACTGTTTTGCGCTCAGGGAGTGGGGGTACCAGCTCGTTTTTCCCTGATAAGATCACCCACACAGCAATCTCATCTTAATCCTCTGAGAAGGAAGACTGGCCAAGACAGGAGGGGAATGCTGGTGTTGGGGGGAGGGGCTCTCTGCCCCCTTCTTACTTCCTACTATTTTTGTGATTCTCTCATTCCTGCCCCCTCTCTGTTGGTACTTTTTTTTAAAAATGGATTACTCTGGAAATAATTCAAAAAAGAAAAAGAAAAAGAAGAAAAAAAACAACATGGAGTTGGTTTAGCCCTGCCAACTCTAATCGGGTCTGAGAAATCAAAGGATCAGACTCTGGAGAGGGGTGGTTCTGGTTTTAGCACTAGGAGAAGGGAACTGGAACGGTGGCACTTTTAATGCCCTGGCCGTGTGCTAGTAGCAGAGGGTTCACCAGGGAAGGCACGTGGGCGGAGGCTGGGCACAGCTTTGCCTTAGTCCTTAAGGGAAGCGCCCCAGTGGTCCTGCTTGAGAGCTCAGAGCAGACTGAGCAGGCAGGGGGTCAATTAGACAGCATTAGGCCAATTGTTGTCGCTAGCAGCAGCTGACTCATGCCAGGAGATGCCAAGAAAGAAGGCGCAGAGAAGGGACAGAAGCCTCAGCGCCTCAGGCGTGTGTTGTGGAAAAGTCAGTGCGTGAGAAGTAGCCTTGTATAGTTGTAGCTCTGCTCACATCTGTGGGGACTGTACCTGAAAACACAGACAGGCAGGTTAGCCTTAGCCAAAATGTATGGACTGCCGCTGTCACTCAAGGAGAAAAAGCTTCCTGCTGTCTTGAGATTGATTTCTTAAGACCAGGTTTCATTGGTCCTCCCTCGCTTTCTCTCCTTTCTTTTTTTTTTCCCCCTGAATTAGTTTTCTTTTGCTTTATAAGAAATTGCCACAAACTTAGCAGCTTAAACAATATATATTATCTCACAGTTTCTGTGCCTCAGGAGCGCAGGCACAACTTAGCTGGCGCCTCTGCAAGGCTGCAGTCAAGGTGTCAGCCAGAGTTGAGTTCTCATCTGGAGGTTTGACTGGGCAGGGGTCAAGTTCACTCAGTGTTGGCAGAATTTGTTTTCTTGCAGTTATAGGAGGTGAGTTCTGATTTCTTACTGACTGTTGGCTGGAGGCCACTCTCAACTCCTAGAAGCCCCTCTCAGCTTCTTGCCATGTGTTTCTCCCAGCATGGCTTTGATTGACTTCTTTAGTGTTAGCAAGAGATAATGTAACAAAACATCGTGGGAATGGTATCCCATCACCTTTGCCATATTCTGTCAGTTAGAAGTGAGTCCTAGGTCCTGCAACACTCAACAGGAGAAGATTGTACAAGAGCTTGAACTTAAGTGGGGGTCACCTTGAAGTCTGTCTGCCATATTCTGCTTTTCCATCCTTTTCTTCCCACTCTTTATCATCACTTCCACCAAGCTCTTTTAAATATTTCTCTCATTTAATTTCTTCAGCATCCCTGTGAAGTAATTGGTATTCTCCCCATTTTACAGATGCGGAAAGTGAGGCTCAGTGAGTCTCATTAGCCTAATATCACATGACTAGTGTGCAAGGGGAGTCTAACCTGGGCGAGTCTGCTTTGAAAACTTCTATTCTTTGCTTTGCTGCCTTATACCCTCTCTCAGTCCAGAGACACTGAACGTAGTACAAGGCTCTCCTTCCCTTTACTTCAGTTCAGTAACCGGTTGTGGAGCATGGACTGGACTGTGTGCCAGCACTGTGCTCCTGGCTGGGAATAGAGGCCAACGTGCAAGACGTGTAACCCTGGAAGGAGAAGCATCTTCTTGGCAAGATCCTCCTGAAAGAGGCCACTCGTCCCTGAGCCGTATTTGGATCTCTGTCTCAGCAGGGTCATCATGTACCTGGGCCTGCTGTAACTGAGTCTTGGGGCTGTACAGAATGTCTCACGGAGAGTTTTTCACTTTCAGCACAGGAAGCAAGAGAGAAAATGGGAGAGGATAGTACCAGAGGCCTTGCTCTCATCCCATCTCCATCCCTCCCAACTGTGGGACCTCCAAAGAGTCACTTAACCTCTGCTGCCTCTGTTTTTCCATCTTTAAAGTAGGTACAGCTGTGCCTGCTTTGTCTACTCTTGTGGCAGTCTCATGAAATGCAAGGCAGGTATCAAATATGAAATACGTTTGGAAACTGTGAAGTATTTCTGGATGGCACTTGGTAGACACTGCGTAGAAAGATATGTGTAGAAGGATGACGAGGCCCTAGTATTGGTGTCAGAGTGACATGATAGATTAATTATGTCTGTCATGGGCCCAGAAGAGGTGAATGGCAGCACGTATGTCATCAAATTTACTAAAGAGCGTGGTTTTTATTGTCGCTCAGGAGGACACTTCACTGAATCTATTCAGATGACATGAATCTCCCTAGACAGGGACCCCTCTGGGCCTGGAGCCATGAGAGTACGACTCCAGAAGCTCAAGTTAGTTAGTAGCAGTGGCTTGGGCTGCACCTCACTCAGGCCTCCAAGTTGTTTTCCCTCAGCTCTGTAGGAGAGGCTCGCTGTGGCCCGGGACTCCCAAGTAAGGCCAATGTCAGCACATGGATCTCCACTCCTGACTGTGCTGGCCTCACAGGCTCTGTTCTGGGTGTGGGGAGCAGAGACCCGGGAGATGGGTAGCTGAGAAGGCAGCTGGATGTAGGAGTCTCCTATGCGACTTCTTACCTAGATTGTCAGCCTGTTGAGAGCGTTTAATCTTGGAATATCTCATGAACACAGATTTCTTGATGGAGGAGGAGGAGCAGCATTTTCTGATCCAGATGCTGAACTATTGAACAATTGTACTCTTTACTTTTGAAGTCCTCCTACACATGTGCCCATGAAAATAAAATGTAAAAAGATATATTTGTATGTATATATGTACTTAATATATACATATTATGTGTATCTATCTATCTATCTTTCTATCTACCTGCCCGCCTACCTATCTAGCTAAAATTTTCCCTGGAGTCCTGGTGACTCGTTCATTTTGTGCTGGACAAAATTCTGGTGGTTGCAGTTGGTCTTCGGCTGGTGACCTCTTAACCATTCTTGAAAAGTCAGTTTCTCTCTGATACCTTTCCTAACTCCCCCAGGCAGCTGAAGGGACCCTTCTCTGTCTTTCCCCTGGCTGCTGTCTTTGGACTTGGATCTGAGTTATCCTCCTTTCAGAGCTTACAACACTTAGCAAGGATTAGGGACGAGAATTTTATTCACTATAGCCCCTGATTCTACACGTCTGAGTCGAATTGTTTCCAACAGGAGGCCTGGAGGTTCCTGCTTCTCAGTGTTTAATATTCTTCTGAGCCTTCTTCTAAACTGTATGTCATACCTTTCTCCTTTCTAGAATTCTCCTGCAACTCTTAGCTCTAAGTTTTGGAAAGAACTTTTAAATGCCCCAACCTGATGCATGAATTGTTTCTCTGAAAAGCAGTCAACAGACTGTTAAATACTTACTGTGATGGGCAACTTACTACCTCTTCAAGCACCTAGATCTAAAGATGGAGAGTTGGAATCCTTCAAAAGCTCTTCTTTCCTTAGGTCCCAATCTGTTCCTCTTGGTAGTTTCTCCCTACAAGTATTTGTTCTGCCCTCTAGGGCTACAAAGAAAAATTTAATCAGAAATAATGAGAGCATCAAAATAATTGAGGATGGTAGTGGATTATAACCATAGAATAAAATAGGAATCTGTAAGTCTATATGGATAGATAGATAAATAGATACATCAGTAGAGAAGAGCTGGCTCAACTGTACAGGAGAATGCGGGCTGATAGATGTAAAGGGAGTCGTGGCCATGATGGTAAAGATTAGTTAAGGCGAGACTCATCAATGGGTACTAAAATCCAGAGAAGAAAGTTTGATGAGGAGCCGGCTATTTGCATGGTCTCTCCACTGATTACTTATTAGTTCCAAGGGGAGACATAGTAACCACATAGTGCGGAATCCAGACATCATGACCAAGTGATCGAAATTACATCACTGGCGAGGGACAGATGGATGTCATGTGCTTCCTGATGTGATACCCTGAGAACGCGAGAGAGCACAACATCACTTATGTCAAATTCCAGTCAGGGGTGGAAAACCTGAAACTAATCGTGAGGAATCTCAGACAAACTCCAATTGTGGAACATTCTGTTAGGAAACAAAAACAAAAACAAAAATACTGGCCTGTATTGTTCAAAAATGTCAGTGCCATGAAAGACAAAGGCTGAGAAATCATTCAAGACTAAAGAGACATGACAACTAAATGCACTATGTGATCCTCGACTGGATTCTTTACCAGGGAATAAAATGCTCTAAAAGAGATTTTTGTGTCATTCGACAGAATTAGAATATTGAAATTATATCAATGCTAAATTTTCTCAATTTTCTAATTCTACCATTAGACAATATCCTTATTCTTTGGAAGTACATATTAAATATAAGGGGCAAAGGATATGATTGATCTATGTGGCCAACACTAAAATGATTCAGGAAAATAAGTGTCCCTATGCAGAGAAAGGGGGAGGAGGGAGAACATGAGAGTAGGTGAAGAAACGTAGGAATTCTCTGTACTATTTCTGTAGTTTTCCTGTAAGTTCGAAGTTATTTCAAAATAAAAAGTTAAAAAAAAACACATCTAAACGAAGACGCATCCAACTTTGCAAGCCGAGAGATTGTCTCTTTTAAGGGTCAACTTATTTCTAGGCCTGGGAAGAGTATTATGATGATAAAAGATACGTGGCACTGAGACCTAACCCATGATGGAGAAGGGCGGTGGTGAAGGGTGGAAATCGGGGAATTTATCTATAAGCCCAAACCTCAAACTTGGAGTTAGTTAGGTGGAGTTCGCTGTGTGAAGCGGTTATTCCTGGTGGAGGAAGTAGTGTGCAAAAAGGCTGGAGCAGAGAGAGCCAGAGGGTCAACAGGGCAAAATAAGGCAGGCCACCAGACACAGGACAGTGAATTCTGGGCTTTGGCCTAAGAACAAATGCCCGTGGTTGAAGAGTTCATTTTCAGCTTGAGGAGTGACATGAACAGATGTGTGACTTGAAGAAAAACCATAAACGCTTTTTATAGACACCGCTCCTACCTGCATCTTCATCTATTCCAGATACTTCTGGGAATGGGCTTCCTAGATAGTGTTCTTATTTGGGGTCTGTACTTTTCCACTGTTGCCTTCCGCCTGTTTGGAAGAAATGGACCTTTTGCTGCTGCCTTTTTATGCCCTTTAGTGATTGAGGGTTGAGTCTCTCTGTGTTCGACCTCTTATTAGTGTGATTATCTTTTTGGGTTGTGAGTTGCCCGAAGTCTGCAGTCGCATGCCAGCGCATTACAATGCCATCGCCGTGAGTTATTAGGAAGGTTTATATGGCCAGGATAAATAGCATGAATCAAGAGAGAGACAGACAACGCTTACATTGCTGCCACTCAGGGAGGATGCCAGAGGGGTTGGAGTGAGGGAAAGAAAAGGAGTGAGAGAAAGGGAAGAAAAAGGAAAGAAAGAAAGAAGGAAACAGGATGAACAAAAGAGGATTGGACAAAAGAAGGAAGTCAAGACAGAGGAAGAGAGGAAGAGATTGCCCATTAGAGGTGAAGAGAGATGAAAGAAGCTTATTTTCTACCACCACTCGGGCTGCCTCTGAGCACAACCAGGAAATTCAAACATGCAAGACTGTACATTCTTCCCCGTGAAGGCCTACTATCACTGCATGCAGGGCTGCCAGCTGCCCTATGCGCGTACATAGATGCCAAGTATAGATGCACGGGCTGGGAAATGCTCTGAACTTATCAGAGGAGGTTTTTGGAAAAGTAATGAGCTCGATGCCACTCTTCTTATTTAAAAAGTGCACTGATGCTTTCTAATTACTAACTTGTCACCTGTGTGCAGACAAGTTACTGCATTAATGGACTAAGAATGTCTTGAACACGCTGGAATGATAAATTACCATTGACACTTAGGCATGCCAGCTGTAATCACCATTGAGGACTTTGGGGACAAATGCTTTTGCATCTGGTTATTTGCTTTGGGGCTGTAGCCAAAGACCCCCTACCCTGAGTTAATAAATTCGGCTCTGAAGACCAAGCTCTCCTTTTCAACAGAATCAGAACTGCTATTATTGCTCTAAGTATTTGTGACAACCATAGACATTCTTGAGAATTTAAGTAAAGGAGAAATATTCAAATTACATGAAATTAGAAACTAGGAGGTCCAAGACTTGTTTTGGATTTTTATTAAGCATTTATTTTGAGTTTGGGATTAGTCATTTGTTTTCTCTCTTCCCATGTATTTTATAGCAGGGTCATAAATAAGCTCCACTCCATTGGTTTATTTTGAATGTTGTAAATGGCAACATTAGGCTTATAGGAACCATGATATTTGAATTCAAGGAGCACCTGGCTGTGGTTTAGGTGACACTCCATGAAAAAGAATTAAAGGAGTAATTAGACCAAGCTCTTTGGTTTCACTTATCCAGATGTTATATAAAGAATCTTTAAAATGATGTCTTAGGATCACAGTTATCCATCCTTCACTTTACGGGTATCTCAGACTCCAATGACTTATGACTTTGGTCATCATAAGTATCCAGTTGGAAGATACCTTGAGTGGCCTTGACTCTCAAAAGTCACATATTTATTCTCCAGTGTTGTATATCAAAATCCAAGGTCAGAACGCGGGCCTGCCGTAATTTCCCGTGTCTGAAGGAGTGCCATTTGTCAAGGGTCTTTTTTTTTTCTTCTTCATTTTCAGTATGTACATCTCTATTCACAACTTAAAGGACAAAAAAGGCAGAAATACTTTTGATTCTTTGAAATGTTCAGAATACTCATTCCTTAGTTCCACTCAGCAGATATTTATTGAGTGGTTACTGTGTATCAGGCATTGTCCTAAGCAGCTGTAGGATAAAAGAAGTCCTTTTTTCTCATGGAGTTTACATACTAGTGTTATATTCTGGCTAATCGTGTTTTCTGGTGAGCTGAAGAACAAATATTCATTCATAGGACATCTTCTACTTGCTTTTTAAAGGCTTGTGGTACCTTTTTTGGGAGAAAGGAAAGCAGTTGGTGGAAGAGACTCCCTAAAATGCGTATCTCATTGTTCTTAAGGGTTGAGAAAACACAATTAGATCTCTGAAGGTTGAGGTCTCCCTAGGTTGGTCATCAGCCCACCTTACCTTTTTTTTTTTTTCAAACTTACTTTTGGCAAATTCTAAAGAAGGTGTAGATTAGGTCGTATCTATACTGTCCAGACAGTCTTATGGTAATTCAGTTTTTAAACAGTTTCCTGTCACTAGCTTACTTTCTTATTTTTCACTTCCCCCTCAAGGTAGAAACTCTAGAGAAAAAAATAAGCCCCATTGATGTAATGGTGAGCTATAGTTAGGTTCAGGTGTTCTAAAACCCTAGAGGCTTGGGACACTTTAATTCTGTTATCTTCTTCAGACAGTTTTTAATGTCTTTTCTGTTTATGGAAGTTTTAGGCATCATATTTATTAAAACCTGAAATGATATATATTTTTTGGAATTGAATTTTGCAAGCAGTTATTGAGCCCTAAGGATAGACATGTGTGAAAAACAAAATCTGCGTGTCTGTCAGGCTCACACAGCATAGCTGGGGCAGCCAAAGAAAGGAGTTATGCACTAGATGTTCAAGAACAACATAGAGGAAGATACAGGGTTCAGAGAGAACAAAGTGGCCCGAGTGTGCCTTATTCTTCTGGGACAGGGCCATGGGGTGAAAGGACATGGGATTGGGGAGGAAGCTTATAAAGACTTCACAGAGTAGGCAAATCCTTAGTTCTTTACTATGAAGTCCTAGCTGAGTTTCTGGCCTTAACTCAGATGGAGACATCAAAAAGGAAATTTTTATTTTATTTGTTTTACGTAGATAAGATTTTATGTATATTAATAGGTCAATGATAGCTACCATTTATAGAACACTTACTGTATGCTAGGCGCTAGGCTAAGCATCATATATCTGTTTCTTATAGCGTCTGTGAAATAAGTAGTATTAACTTCATCTTATAGATGAGGAAACTGTGGTCCAGAGAGGTTGAGTGACATGGCTAAGATCACACAGTAAAGAAGCTGTAGAGCCGAGATTCAAACTGGGTTTCTTTGCCTCCAAAGCCAGTGTCTTCACCTCTACACGTACTACCATTTTTGTGCAGCTGCAGTTGCAAACTCAACTGCACTAGAGATATCTTGGAGCTGCATCTTTTAGGGGTTCTTCCATACTTCACCATGGGAGGCTGGGCCTTTCTTCCCTCTTACTGCTATTTGATTTCCAGCTAATTCAGTGCATCCTCTTTCTTTCACTTCTCTAAATAGGTAGATGCTATTATACTGTTATGACTTCAAGAGTTTCCCAGATCTAATTTGAACTTACTGTGTGGCCTTGGATGAGCCATTTTTAAGTCTCATTCTCTGATTTTCTCTGATTGCCACCACTTGGGAATACGATTATTAGTAATCCTATTAGTATAAAGCAGTATCAGTATTTCTGGTTCAAGATGGGGTGAGATGTCATCATTAGTAGCTTTTGTCCCCTGGAGCTGAGTTATAGCTGGACTGATCCACTCTGAACCATCTCGTCTTTTGTGGGGAGGTTGTTGCACTTCCTTGTCTTAGAGCCTAAAGCACAATCACAGCTCAGCCTATTTTGCAGTCTCCAACAGTTCCACGATGCCCCATCCCTCCAAGACTGTTGTCAATGCAGTTGTCTCTGCTTTAGCTGATGACGACCTTGCCCCAGCTGTCCCTGGAGGACGGCAGCTTGATGAGTAAGTCCTGAAGCCTGCAAGATGCGTCTCTGTATTTCACATGCCAGTGCTGATTGGACAAACCCCAGTCTGGGCCTTAGGACTTGGTTGGCTTCAAGGGTCCTGAATATCACGACTCAAGTATCTCTGGTGGTGATTTGTTTTTCTGACTTGTGTTTCCTTTTTCAGCAAATGAAAAGATTGAAGACATCAATGGCTGTCCGAAGAACAGATCGCAAATGGTAAGCAGTACATGGGTAGAGTGTTTATGTTATGTTATCCCTGCCTTTAAATGATATTGACCGTCTTGAAAACATTCACACCAACAGCTTTACTCTAGGGATTATATTAATAAACTAACAGCCATTTCCAAGTAGCTGTGGTCTGCTCTTCTGACATTTGTTGGCATTTACTGAAAAATGGTGTGATTTTTATATAGATGATGAGACAGCGAAAAGGAAATATGGTCCTTGCTCTTAGAAACAAATTCTACAGAACTGGTGCAAACACACACTTGTTTAGAACTTGGACTATTATGACTTGTTCTGCTTCCTCAAAGACCCACAACAATTTCTGTTTGTGTATGGAGCTGAGGCACAGATGAGGTGATGGTATTTAATTACTCAGAAATTGGAGCATGTGGTCAGATTGCTTTTAAAGGTTAGAATGATGTGAAATCAGAACCATGACAATAAATTTGAAATGTATTATTATATCCAGACCATTTTCAATGTAACCTTAGTAAGTGATATTCTTTCTTCTGCGATGCACTTAAGCTCTGATTTTAAGCTTTAAAAAAAAAAATCTTAAAATCTGTTCTTGTTGAATATTCTGCACATAACCTTGAATTAGAATTCATGATCACTGTTGAGTTTAGAAACATTAAATTCCAATGCTCTGAGAGCTCAGCTTTTCCCTTCAAAACGCTTTTAAACATGAATATTTACACAAGTAATATATATTATCAAAGTCTGTTAAGATGATGCTAATATCTGTTTAAAATACGAAGGTGACACCTAAAGGACAGCTTTTTTTTTTCTGGACATTCATTTGCTTTCAGAAATCTAAAAAAAGTCATAATTTGTTTTTTAACCTCACTCCACTTCATTTGAATATCACAATTTGATCGTCTCATTCTAGAGTACATCAAAGTGATTGGCATTCCTTGGGGTTACTGTTTAATTTTCTGAATTGCTTGTTACCCCAATGAGTTGGACAGATTGCCTTTTCAGTCACCTTTTTTCATGCACAAATAGAGAAGAGGGAGTGTGTGTGGTGGTGGGGAGTCATTTTTCGGTATACATTCTGAAACAAGTTTCTCTTTTTTATTGTTCCACTGGAGACTGTTTCTTTTTGTTTGATCCAGAGAGCAACCGTTCCTTGCATAGGAAAGTCCCCATGCAGACCTCTCATGGCTGCTTTGACTTTTAGAAAAGCTTGGCTGCTATTTTTACTAGAGCTACTGCAGCTGTCTAGTGTATTAATAATTGAGAAAATTTGGAAGATAGAAGACTTAATTTTAGTGCAAGCATTTTACACATGCAGTCACATCTTCACATGAAAGAGATGCAGTGGTTCTCCTTGGGATAGATAACAGTGCGTTTGTCCCAGCCCATTATATGTGTATGCAGAACTGACATTTGAAGGTAGTAAACCTTTTATTCTGTTTGGTACATTTGTATTTTCTGCACCTTCCATTGCAGGTATTGTTTGTTGTTTAAGTCCACTTTCAAGCTTATAAAATAGGTTGTCACCTCAGGTTCTTCTGTGCAAATTTAGTTCTATATGTAAATATGCTATTTATAAATACTACCGTAGCACCAGTGCAATTTTGTGGTTTCTCCATAACTCTTTCAGCTATGGAAGTACTGTTTTGTTTTCTTTTTCATGGACTGGGTTTTTTTAGAACACAGGAATATAAAATCCTATAATTGTCTGTGATAATTAGTTCCAGCCTAGGGGCGGGGAAGCAGACATGGTCTGGTGGTAAATGGAGCAGAGAATAGTTCAGCATACGGGATGTGAGTCCAGGAAAATGTAAGTACCTCCGCTACAGTCATTCCACTCTGTAGGAAATGAGAAAGATGATGATAAGGACAACAGAGCCATTGTCCTTTCTTCTATATTACAAACAGATAATTCATAAGACAGAACTTGCCTAAGGGTGTACGGGAAGTTCTTATAGACAAGCATGGGTGTTGTTCTGGTTGATAGGACACCTGTGTGTGCGCGTGTGAGCATATAGTTAAAGCATTTCTACTCATGGGAAGCATAATTTGAGAATATGGCATAGCAGATGAGCCACTATTTCTAGATTCCTCGAAGGTTAACTTCCCAATTAGACCTTATTTAGGGTGGCTAACGATAAAGATTTGTTGTTGTTTGCTAAATATTGTCTGTTTGGAGACGAGAGGGGAAGGTATATGGAGAAACATCACATTGGCAAAAGGAAGATGACACAGTGAGTTGAGAACTTGGGCAGTGTACCCGTTGGAAGGGTATCTATGACTCCTTGAAAATAATCAGCAAGAGTTCATGTGTTTACTCACTAAGAAAACACAGCATCTTCAGGGGCATTTAATAATACAGGCAGAGAAAAGCAATTTCTTTTCAAAGCAGGAGGAATGGATACCTTTCCAGTTTTTAAGAGGTGAATTACTTTCATCAGCTAATCAGTGGTTAGAAGTGAAGAGGTGAAAAGGGTACCTCTTCCTCCTACCCACTCACCATCTTCCTCCTGACCCACTTGGCTGCCCCTGAGCTCCATTTCCCAGTCTAACTCCTACACTCTGGGCTCTACTTCAAGTCCTCCTCTCTTCTCAGAGGATGGGGAAGTGAAAGCAGAAACCTGTGGCACATGGACTTGAGAATTTCAGAGTCATTGGTGTACAAACATGATAAACGTGGCATTGCATATATTTAGCCAGTCAATCGACAAATGTTCACAGAGTGCCAACTAATGCCAGGCTCTGGGCTAGGCCAGGTGAATACCCAAGCGAACAAGATGTGATTCCTGCACTCAAGAAACTCAGTGATGAATGGGTGGGAGACTGGAGAACAATTAGAACAATAGAACAGTGTACCTGTTCCCACAGACATCCATGCATGGCACAGCAAGGGGCCATTCCACTCTAGGCAAGGGGAGCTTTTTTAAAAAAGGAGGAGCTCTTAAATAACTTTCTAAAAGTTATTTAGATATAACTTTTAAGGGGTAAGTCTTGAAAGGTAAGAGGGTTCACCCCAGGGGAGTGATAGGTGAAAGAGGATTTCCATTTCCGGAGAGTCTGTTTACCTGAGGATGTCACAGAACCTGCAGAAGAAAGATTTGCAACATTTTGTTTATCAATCCTCCCTAAGTGCTATAATCTGTATCTGGTGAGATGCTTCTGGCTTCTGAGCAATGCCAACCATTTTCCCTGTTGTGTCCGAGGTGAGGGCTGAGGCATGGAAGAGCCCAGAATATGACAGACCCCATAGGCATGGTGGTCTTTTCAGACCCTGGTCAAGTTTTCTGCATTTATCATCACTCTCCAGATTGCCACAGCCCACGGAGCAAACCCCATTGGACCCAGGAGCAAAGTCTCCTAAAGGAAAGTAACCATGGTCATTAACTCCTGTGGATGGGCATTGAACCATGGGATCTGGAAAATGAGAGTGCTACCTGGTGGGAGCAGGTGGTTAAAATTTTTAATATCAGCATTAACATGTATCCGCATAGTGCTTTCAGTTTACAAGTAATTTTACACTCATGAGCACATTGGATCTTCCCGGTTTGCTGTGGGCCAAAGCACTCTCTACTTTGGGGTAAGGAGATCGGACTGCCCGGGTAGCGGATGGCTGGCCCCAGGGAGAGGCAGATCTAGGACCATCAGCATCTGTAACACCCAGCACTTACCTCTTGGCCCTCATAAAATGAGACCGTGTCTGTGACAGAAATGCAGAAGCACAGGAGTGAGTTCCCTTTCCCTAGCAAATCTGCTCTCAGCTTATGTTTGAGTCCTTTGCCCTGTTTCAGCCTGACCTAGATAAGTTGGGGGCCGGATCCTTGGAGATGGAGCTTGAGAAACAACACTCCCCTCTCTTGCCCCTTCTCCCTCACCAAATCGGTCCATTTGGCCCTTAACTATGTTTGTGTATATGCGTCAGAGCTGGTTAAATGTTGTCTGGTTAGCATTGCCATGGCAACCTAGGGGCATCTTTTTGGCTTTTGAGTGGTATGTTCAGCTGAGTTATGTGTCGATTTGGAAGGAGAAACTCTCCTTGGAGCTCAGCCAGTGGGCGCCTTGCTGGAACCCACTGAGCTCCAAGATGTTGGCTCACTTTGGAGCCTAGGGACGGCCACTGCAGGGGGTTGGTTTTCTTTTTTAATCATTATTATTTTAAGCAACTTGGCTTTCTGTTGTTGATTAGGAAAGGTGCAAAGTAAGCAAGGCTGGCTGGCCCTTTTCAACGGAAAGCCCCAGGCCTGTTTCCCCTCTGGCTGGCTGATCTCAGGCCTGGGGTCATCTGGGGCCTCCCAGCGCTGCCCACCTGCCTCTTCCTGGGTTCTCACGGAGTCCTGCCTTCTTCTCTTAGTGCATCTAGACTGAGGGCCAGCCTAGGCTTGTGAACCAGACAGGCCAAGTTCGAGTTCCTTCTCTGCTATTCTGTGGCCTTGAGCTAATTATTTAACCTTTGAAGCCTCTATTTACTGGCTTATAAAGAGGAACTGATAATAATACATAACTCATAAAGTTTTTGTGGGGACTAATGAGGCAATGAAAGTGATGATATATAATAATTATAATGATAAAAACATAACTAAAGCCTATAGGGCCTTGTGCCAGGTGCCCTTCTAAGTGCTTGCACTTAGTTCATCCTCCCCACAGCTCTGTGAGGTAGGTGACTTTATTATTCCCATTCTGCCGGCATATGAGCATTGGTAAGGTGAAGACTGCCATCAATGCATGGCAGTTTCTGTGGTGACGATGGTTAGTTTTAGTAGTCATTCATGCGTTTAGAGACATGGAATCTTTTGGAAATCTGAGAGAAGTTGCCAGCCCTCTCCTCCCCAGAGGGCACGTACCTTAGAATTTTGCATACAGCCTAAACAGATTATGGATTCCAGAGGCTGTACCATGTGCCTGCCCCCTGGGGCTCCATAGACCCCAAGTTCAGTGCTCCTGCTGCTTAGAGCACAGCTCTCTCTCACACTGTTCTTTCAGGGGTTCCTGACAGCACCGGATTTTGCAAGACAATACGA